AGTTTCTCTTTCCAGAACCAGAGAGGCATCTGCCTGCTGCTCTGGAGCTGGGGTTGGGCCTGGGGTTTCCCTGGGATCCTGCATCAACCCTTGAACTTCTTAAGCCTCATCTCTACTTCTCTTAAAAAAGAGACAGGGTCCAGCTTTATGCAGGGCTTCTCAAGCATGGCCCTGTTGACATTTTGGGCCAGATAATTATTTTTTGTGGGGACTGTCCTGTGCATTGGAGGATGTTTAGCAGCATTCCAGTCTCGGGCCACTAGAGGCAGGGAGCAACTTCTCCCATGGTTGTGATGACCAAAATGTCTCCAGACATTGCCAGATGTCCCTTTGGTAGCGGAGGAGGGAAGGGGGGGGGGTGTGCTAAATTAACCTCTGGTTGAGAGGCAGGGTCGTCAGTCCTGTAGTCCTTCCTCAGATCTGTTCCTTTAGCTGGGCCCAGAGAGGCTCACAGGAGAGGAACAAGTGGCTGGAGGTCAGGGAAAGGTTTCCTCTGAATCTCTGTCATGCCCTTTTGCTCTGGAAGGTTTTTTTGTTTGTTTGTTTGTTTGTTTTTTATTAAATTATTTTTTATTATGAAATACACATTTTTTAGAATTAGTGTCAGCTGTACAACACAGTGCAATAGTTATACTTTTTACCCCTCGAAGTGACAACCCCCCTCCCCCTCTGGAAGTTTTTTAAAGACATGAGAATCGTCCATCCCAGCAAGCCCCTTGCCAAGGCTTCTGGTGGCCTCTTCCCTTGTTCCTTTGCCACAGCAGCCACAGCAGCCCTGCTGGAGGCTTTCTGCAGGACTCAGGGTGGACATTTTATTGGGAACAGGAACACCGTGTCCTGTAGCAGGACTCAAAGGTCCATGCTCTTGGGCGGTGGCCGATGCGTGAAAGGGAGTCCAAATGATCCCTCTTCACTGCAGACAGACATTGTTAGGGAGGACTGCATGTTTGCATATGTCACTGTCCTAGAGAGGGGCCACCTTCACGCATCACTTTTTCATGATGTGAGTCAACTCTGAACACAGGGGCACTGGGGCGACATACCTGTGAAATGAAGGTAATGGGAAATGTGGCTGAGGCTGGGCGGGGGTGGGAGGAGTGTTCTCTGTGGAACAGAGAATTGATAAATAACATTTTTGGCATCTGGGGCGGAAAAAGAGGTGTGCAGAGGCCAAGGTGAGAGGACCAGGTTCACCTGTGGGCCCATCCATCAGTCCCTTCCTCTTCCCTCACCTCTACTCACTCAGTAAAGCCGCCCCCTCCGCTCTATGCTGTGGGTGGCGTCGCCCTCTGGTGGAGGAGATGGGCATTTGCATGAGGCGCTTTGGCTTGAAGCGCTTGCATGTCCTTAGGTGTCAGGGGACCCCAGCTGGATTAGCTCAGGCATCATTATCTTTGATTAACCACTACTGTGGTATCCTTATTCAGATCCCCTCCAACCCATCTCTCACACTCACTATCAGAGAGATTTTTCTAAAATGCCATAATCTGACGGTGTCCTGCCCCTTCTAAAGCCCTCAGTGCCAGAGGATTAGGACCAAGGCCTTGAAAACATTTTAGGGTGCTTTACAGGCTGGTCCCCATCCACCTCGTCAGAAGTGTCTCTAGCTCTCCACCCACAAGCTCTGTGGAATTTCCCGGGCCTGACAAGCTTGTTCCTACCTCTGCAATGCCCTTCCTGAGCTTTTTGTTGTTGTTGTTTTCTCTTGGCTTTGTATAAACTATTCAGCCCTCAAGACTCAGCCCACATGTTCCTCCCCAGGCTGAGTAAAGTCCCATCTTCTCTCTGCCACTCTTGGTCCTCTCCCTATCATAGGACATGTCACTCTGTGTCATAATTTATATGCTCATCTGCACCAGAGGGAGAGTCCCCAGAGGGTCTCGTTGTCTTAATCGTCCCTGCAATCTTGCTGGCACATGGTGAGTGCTCAGCAAACATTTGTTAAGCACGCGATTTGATGGGATCAGCGTAGCGTGGGAGGTGCTTGGCCTGAGGGGTCAGATGGACTCCAGGCTAACCTGGACTCTCCCATGGACCAGCTCTGTGGCCAGAAACACAGGTGCTTCTTTCTGAGCTCAGTTTCCCCATCTATGAAATGGGGACAATGAGGCCACCTTCAGCGATTGTTGTAAGATCAAATGGGGTAGAGCATGTGTCAAGTGGCTGGGGGCTCCCCAGAAGTCCAGGGTTCTGAGTCAGGGACCCCCAACTCTTTTGCAGGGGTCGTTCTTCTGTGACCTGGTGCTCATCTACTTCATCAAAAAGAGTCATTTTTACCGTAACAAGAAATATGAGGAAGCGAGGTCAGTTACGCTTCTTTCCCAGCGGCCTGAGGGGTGAGTCAGCCAACCCTTCCCTGGCTGAGGACATTTACCCTGGGTGGATGGTGGTTCTTGGGGTGTGGAGGCAGGGCTGAACATGGGGCGCTCCCCTGGAACGGGCGGGAAGGTGGAATGCTCTGAGTATATGCTCTACAGAACTGGACTCCACCTCAGACCAGCCCATAGAAGAAAAGGCCACCACAAGCCGAGGGCAGGAGACCTGATTTCCAGGCCCAGACAAGTCCCAGGCCTCCATGGGCCTCCGTTTCTCTGCAAAATGAGAGAATTGGTTTATATATAGTGCCTTCCAGCACTTATATTTTAGGATTCTTGGACTTGGTGGTCCTGGTGGGCTGGCATTAAAGGAAGTTGGAATGGTAAGAGAAGAAAAAAATGGATTTTTTTTCTTTTTCCATACAGGAGCCTGTTTTTAGGCTCGCTTGGGATGTGGGCTTGGCAAGGTGTGTGTGCATGTATTCAGTATGAGTGGGCAATCCTGATGTCTGTGTGCAGACAGGAAGGGGAATGGGCTCTGGCCCGGCCTTTGGGAAGGCTTTCTGGAGGAGCTGGGATTAGAGTAAGGAATTGCAGGTGGTTGGCTCGGGACAGGAACCGGGGTGATCTGTCAGCCCCACCACATCCTGGCACAGCAGGCAGAGAGTCAGCGGAGTCATTCATCTGGCTTGAACCCCAGCCCTGGTTCATAGGCTGAGCCCTGAGCCCTGAGCCCTGACCTGACCAGGGACCTGCTCTCAGGCTGAGCCCTGAGCACACCAGCTGCCCCAACTGAACTGCCGGATGAAAAGGGGCACCCCCTGCAGGGCGAGTGGTTCTGCAGGGCTGGCCCCCTGCGGTCCTGGAGGGAGGCCAGGCTGCACAGGCCAGGGTTTGCACAAGTCCTACCCAGGGACCTAGAGGTCCTTGCCCTGTGGGCAGAGTCCTCACATCAGGACAGGGCCCCAGAGGATGAGGATGCAGTGGAGGGCCCTGGGCTGCTGGGCACAGGGTGATGGTGGCAGCCAGAAGGAGAATGGCTGCGTGTGCTGGCACCTCCTGGAGCAGGCTAGTGGGTCCCTGCTCTGTGGTGACCTGGTCACAAGGCAGGATGTCCAGGACTCAGGAGAGCTCATCCAAGCTGGCTTCTGAGGGGAGGGGGCGCTGGTGGCGCTTTAGCCCCTCCATGACCCCCATTAGCTCCCCAGTACCCCTAAGTAACCACAAAGCAGTCAGCTTGCTGTGCTATTGCAGTGTTAAGACAATAGCACTATCATTTACTCAGGCTTACTCTCTCTGCCTGGCACTGCTATGAGCAATTTGTATATATTAACTCATTTCTGCAACTTTAATAAGGTGGGCACTAACATTCCTTATTCTACTAATGAGGAAACCAAGGCACAGAAAGGTTAAGTAACTTGCCCAAGTCACACAGCTAATAAATGGCAGTGTTGGGGTTTGAACCTAGGCAGTATGTCTCTAGAATCCAGTTCTCCATTAGGTTATTCTGCCTTATCAAGCACCCGCATTCTCCCATTCCCCACATCTTAGATGCCTTCCCTAAGCATCTCCCGATGAGGAAATTCTGGAGCTGCCCTAGCCTCAGGGGGGTGGGTGGTGTCTGTGCTGACAGGTAGCCTACAGGCCGCCCTTTCCTGGGGCAGTGTCCTGGGCAGCCTGGCTAGCTCTGCAGTTGGAGAGCGCCCTTGGCTGAGTCAGGAGGCAGCCTTGCGGCCCACCCTGCCTCTGCCTCCCTGTGTGTCCTTGAGCAGGGGCCTGGCCCTCTCTGGGCCTGTTTTCCCCAGTGGGGGCTGCTCAGTCAAGCTAGGGTTCTGTGACTCTCCTCTTGTAAAGCACATCCCAGGAGGCGTTCACTGGCCTGCGATGGACTTTCCTCCGGCCCGCAGCTTTCATTCTTTGCTGACTCAGGGGCTGGCCACTTCCCAGCAGCCCCCACGTGCTCCCTGAGCTGATTGTCACTTCTTGGGTGCTTGCTGGAGCTCCTTAGCCTGCGAGAGGGAAGAATGGCTGCCCTGCTCGTCTTAGTGCAGCCTCACCTGTTGTGGGAGGCGCGAGGCGCCACCAGGTGGCTGCTGCTCGTTGCTGGGCAGCAGCAGCATCTACATGTGTCTGGGCTGCGGCCAGGGACGGCCGGGGACCTGACACCCTGCCCCTTCCTGCCGTGCTCTGCCTGCCCGCAGTGCTGCCAGTGAGAGACCGCCGAGGGTGGGGGCTGTCCCTGTCCACAGGGTCCCCAACCGCCCTCTGTGTGCCCTCCTCCCACCCACACACAGGTCTGGCCACGCGGGGAATGGAAAGGTGAATGTGGAGCAGCTGCGGGACCTGCAGACAGTGGAGGCATAGCCAGCGGCGTTGGCTGAAAGCAGATCTAGTGACGACGTTGGGGGCAGAACCGACTGCAGCTCTGAACTGGGAAGTCATCTTTGTGTCTGCATGGGACGGGGGCTTCCAGGCATGGCCATCTCTTCTGCATTTGGGGATTTCTACAAGCTTTCTGTTGTGTGTTGGGGGAGGGGAACCTCTCAGTGGCCAGAGTGGCTCAGATCTAGAAGAGGAGACCTTGGAGAGGGAAGCGGGGGAAGGCCAGAGGCCTGAAGGATACTAGTGTTTTCACTTTTTTGGAGAACCTAGTTGGACATTCATTCATTCATTCATTCATGCAGTAAACACTTTTTTTTTTTTGCTGTGGGCTGCGTCCTATCCAAGAGATGCTTAAATGAGACACTGACCTGGCCCTCAGGGAGGAGAGCACACATGGAATTCCCTCCAGAGCCAACAGACATCACAGCCAGGCTCAGCCACTCTGGCCTTTCTGCAACATCTAGATAAGATGAAGAAAGAACTTGGCCAACATCCAAGGGGATATTTTGGACTTACCCCCAGGATTTCAATTTAAAGGTGGCCACAGAGGCAACCAGGGGAGGACTGGACCCATCAGGAGGCAGCTGGCCCTTGAGGGGAGAGGCTGCCTCTGAGGGCTTCTGGGTAAGACGGGTAAGAGGAGGCAGGGAGGCGTCTGCTCCAGTCCGACTCGCCCAGCCTCGGAAGGCTGTGGGCATAGCGTCTCATCCAGATGGGGGACCGCTGCCTGTGGTTTGGCTCTTGCAGCTCTGTGGGGTTAGGTGTCCCTGCCCAGCTTCCGTCTCTCTCCTCAGAGGCTAGATCTGAAGGGCTAATGAGATGATGCTCACTCAGCAGGTAGAAACAGTCTTGTTCGTGAGGCCCAACGTGTTAGGGAGTCCCTCCTCCCCTCCCCACTCCCCTGTATTTCCCCGCGCCCCATGGAGAGCTCCACTGCTTCCCTCCCTTAGTGGCTGTAGAGCCTCTCTGCTCCAAGGGTGGTCCATGAATCCCAGCATCTGCATCACCTTGTTAGATGTGCAGTCTCGGCCCCTCCCTTGTCCTCCTAAATCAGAGCCTAAGTTTCAACAAGACTCCAAGGTGATGGTTCAAGTTTGAGAAGCACTGGTTGAGGAGATCTGCCAAGCTGGTTCTGAGGGAGGAAAAGGCCACCTTTGATGGGTGGCACCAATTTCTAGGTCAGACTTACATTCTACCTTGAGACTGAGAGGATGCCCCTCCCCCAACCCCACCCCCGCCCCAGGGAAAGGAGCATTACACTCGATTTATTTAACTAAAAATATTTTGACTAGATAATACTTACATGATTCAAAATTTAAAAGGTACAAAAGAATAGACAGCGAAAAGCTCCCCTTCCACCCGTTTCCCAAGGCAGCCTGTTACCAATTCCAAAACAACTCTCTTGTTTTGCTGAGAATCCGCTTAGTTACTTGCTCACTCTCTCAGGAAATGAATTTATCCCTGTGCCTGCAACGTCAGGTCTCTGCCAGAAAGGCGCACGATGGAATAGGCGTAAATACTGGGCCGATTAGCCCGCTCTTCCCTCTCCCAGTGTCTGAGGAGTCCCTGTGTGAACCCAAGGGGATAGATCTACAATAGAACTCACTGAGCCGCCCAGGCAGCAAAGGCCTGTAGTGCCGCCCCTCGCCCAGCAAGCCCCAGTGCTGTTTGCATAGCTGTCGGGACGCTAGGGAGCATCCTCTTTGGAAGGGCTCTCTGGGCCTCCTTTAAGTCAGAGGAGCCTGGTTCTCCACTGCATACAGAGGAGGTAAACATCGGTCCCCTGGAGCCTTTGGAGAGGGTCAGTAGGGGACTGAAAGGTCTCTGGTGAGGCTCCACCACTGGGGCAGAGGGTCATGGTCCCCAGGAATCCTGGAGCAAGCAGCTTCCTCACCTTGGGCTGCCTGGTAACCAGTCAACAAGCCCACGTGCTCTCTAAATAAAAAGTGAAAAATCTGGGTGACCCACTCTGGTGTTTCACATCTTCCCTACAAACCCTTGGATTGGATAATCTAGCATGTTACTGTTATGTTTGGAAGGAAATAAAAAGGGCAGGGGTCATGGCTGCTTAGGAGTTGGTCTGGTTTCTTTAAACCTGTTTTTGGAATTGCTTGGCAGCAGCCATGAAACCTAGGGACAGTTGTACTATTTATTTTATATTGGAATGACTACGTCTTCCTACCCTGTTCCTTCAGTCAGTGAATATTTATGGAATACCTATTGTGTCAGGTGTTGGATTAAATGCTGGTGACACAGTGGCAAGCAACACAGACAGTTCTGCCCGAGTGCTTCCACTCTTGGGGGAGCTGAACCTTAACCAGTGGTCACACATTATCATCGCAGACTAAATTGAGTTTTCAGTGGAGTAGCCAGAGGTTTCCCCCAAGAAAGTGACAACTAAATTGAAATCGGAAAGGCTAGTAGCAGTCTAACTAGGTGATGGAGGAAGCATTCCAGGTTAGGGAACCACAAATGTAAAAGTAACGCTTAACAAGAGGAGCAACCGAGGAACTGGATGAAGACATTGTGACTGGAGCTGGTTTTGAAGCTTTCATCAGTTTAAACTTTTAAGTAGAAAGTCCAAGATCACATGAATTGTCTATGCTTTTGTTCAGGCCCTGGCCTAAAGCCACCTACCTAGTATTTTCCTAATGATTGAGTTATTCCATGCCTTGGGAGTACCATGATGCTGATCAAAGATAAATTTGTAAATTGGGTGATATCAATAAGACATCATGGGGACCAGCCACTAAAGAGCCAAGTGCTCTCTGTTCCTGATGCAGGGGTCATCAGGACTGTCAGTCACAGCTGCCTTTTTGCCCCTGCCACGCCATCAGTTCTTTCTTCTGTGGCTGACTGTGGGGGACCAGTTGTGAGGGGGGAATGTGACTTCCTCCAGGTGTCTCTTAAATACCCCAGATTAAGGACTAGAGTGCCCTGCAGTCCCTAAATCACCCTGCTTGGAAAGGCATTTTGCATATGTGGAAAAGGACTCCACTTGGTTCCATCCACCCCCCTCTACGCAAGTGATGCAACTTTCCTGAGAACATACTCTTCAGTGGACATGGGAATGCTCTTTCCAAGACACACCTTTCTCCCAGCTGTTTGTTCCCCTTAGGCCAGTACACAGAATTAAAGCGGGGGTTGGGTGGCAAACATTTTCTGGGACCTGCCCACTATATGTATTCTTTGATATTTTTATTTGGTTATAAAATAATAAGTGTTAACTTTAAATGTGTCATGATTTTTTTTCCCCTTCATGTGTTCATGGTCACCCGCTTTAGAGGAAAGGAAACTATAAGGATAAAGTGAGACCAAAAGAGCCAGACACAGAAACAATTAGTGAGCAATATATTACATTCCTTATTATCTTGCAAAGAAATTCAAATGAAAATAAGGAAACTCTTTAAATTAGCAAACATTAAAAGACTAGGAAGGCACTGATAAAACTGGCACTTTTCATTCAATGAGTAATCTGATAAAACTCTGAAAAGCATTTGGAGTTGTTTTTAATCTTCTGCTCTGGCTGATTAAATTCCCTTAAAACAATATAGACGTGAAGACATTCATTGCAATATTTTTTATAATAGCGAACACTTCAAACCACCTTACTGCCTAGCAAGAGGAATGGTTAAGTAAATGAGCTCATTTATCTCCCCCCACCCAAGTAGGACCCTGTTTCTTTCTCTTTAGTCCACATCAGGAATGAGCCCTCCCTTCCCACTCAGAGAAGACCCTGAGAGAGGGTTGGGAGAGGCGGTGTAAACCACGAATGTGGACATCTTCAGTGGTGGTCAGAGAAAGGGCTCAGAAGGTCATTGAAAGAGGGAGGCAAAGCTATGGCCTCAGCTGCTTCCGGGCTTTGTGTCGAAGTATATACTAGTCTAGAAACCAAAATGGGATACAGGAGGCCTGGGTCCCAGATCCTCTTCCATTAGCCATGGGCCACCTACTATCTGTAAAAGGGGACTTGGATTCAAGCTTTCAGATCCCCTTCTGATCTAAAACGGATTCTTTTTTAAAAATCCAAATCTGATCACATAACTCCTGACTAAAACATTCATAGGCCTCTCCCAGTACTTTCAAAGGCTTTCCCCAGTTGCTCTTAGTGTCAGGGCCAAACTCCCTATGGTGGGCCCTCCATGATCTGGTTGTTTACCTCATGGCCTCTTTAACTCTCCACTACAGGCCAAACTCCTTTCTGCCCAATGGCCCTCACACGTGATTTCTCCAAAGTACCTCCCTCCACACTTTACTTGGCTGTTATTCAACCATTGGGTCTTGTCTCTAATGTTATTTCCTCAAAGAAACTTTTCTTGACTTCCACCTCCCAACCTGGGTTCATCTTGGGGTTCCTATGTACTCTCTTTATGGCACTTACCGTAACTTAAATATTTGTAAATTAGGTAATGCTGGTCTTCCCAGTTAGCCTATAAATTCCATGAGCAACATGTTCATTACTATAACTCTAATGCAATATTTACTTCTTAAATATGCATTTTATTGCAAGATAACCCTCCTGACATGAAGGGATCACCAATTAGCATATAGACAGGCATTTACACTCTAAACAAGCCAAAGTTTAGCTTAAAAACGTCCCGTCTGTTTAATCTTCACTAGGCATGTTCTAGAAAACAGCTTGAATTAATTTTTTTAATGGGACTACAGCTAGCTGTAACTAGGTGAAATGGAACTGAAACAGCACCATTCATACCTGAAAGCAGTGGTTAATGGGCGGGAAGGCTGGGCTCTGAAAAGGTATACTCAGCCAATACAGCAAGAGCAATTAAGAGGCCTGGATTTGAATCCTGGCTCTGCCTTTTCTGAGCTGCACCTCCTCTGCAGCCTTAGGTTCGTCAATGGGGGACACTAATCACATCTATTCCATAAGGATATTGCTAGAATTAAATGAGCTAATGGGTGTAAAAGGTACAAGGCACAATGCCTGGCATATAGGGCACACTTAATAAATATTAACTGCTATTAGTTCTTAGGAATTTGACAACAAGTGCTCTCCGTATTTAGGCCCTAGTGCAAATGCAAGGAAATTACAAAGGCTAAGGCTCAGTCCCAGCTCTCCAGGAGTCAAAGCTTGGTGGATTTGCACCCACGATAGACAGGGGGTATACGTTAAGGTAGGAAAAAACTCTGTCAAGTGTCTCACGCTTCATTTAATCTGAAGAATATTACAGGCTCTTCGTCTTCAGATATGTTACTGATAACGTTACAGAACAAGCAGCGAATTCAACAATTTAAAAACTAAGTAGGTCTACACGTCGTTCATTTCTGGCACCAGTCTTCCCAATCTGGTTTTTTTTAAAAAGTCACATCCCTGCCCCCATTTCAGTAGACGTGCACCATGCCATAGAGGAATGTCCAGAACAGGACGTAGGTAAAGAGGCCTCCGATGAGACCTCCTGTAAAGAGGGGTCTTCGTGACTTAAAATATTTGTTCCACCTCCTTCCCGCCTTGAGAATTAAGAGCAGGGAGAGCAGGATGGAGGCAAGCAGGTAGAAGATGAAGCCGTAGAGGCCGGTGAGGCCGAGGATTCCGGCCGTGGCCCCCGACAGCGCTGACACTGAGGTCCGGCAGTAATCCAGAACCGCGGCGTTGCCCCGCACAGCTGCCTCGCTGATGAACGGCGGCCCTTCCCGCTTGGCCACCACAGCGGCCATCGCACCTGCCGGGGCTCAGCTTCTGCTTGCTCGCGGAGCTGCGGAGAAAATCAAGTTTTAAGTGGCGCCTGGAGCTCGGAGAGTTAGGTTCACGCCGCTCCTCCCCCTGGGGCTTCCAAAAACCTCGCACCACTCCCGGGTCTCGAACCTTCAAAAAACGCTGAGAAGAAGGCTGAGGGCTCGCGCAAGCCCGGGGTGAGTGGAAGGGACAGCACGTCTGCCTGGTTACCTGGAACACAGCGATGGACACAGTCACTTGGCGTTCCCTCAGACAGCCAGGGGTAGAGACTCCCGCGGCGCCATCTTGCTCTGGAGGCTGCTGGGAGGGCCCAGGTTGTGCATGCGCCAAGACCGCGCTTCCGCCCTCTAGCGCATGCGCCGCGGGAGCCTCAAGCAAGCTCCACCCCTCTCCTCGCTTTTCTACGCACAGTTTGGGACTTCCGAAACCCGAACAGCGCTCCAGCGGGTGATTGGCTGGGGATTTGTTAACTATTCATGAGGGGGCGGGCCGAGCCGGGCGGCCTTTGTTAACCAGAGGGCGCGGCCGCCGGGATTTTCGCTGAGGGCTTCGCTGAGCGCTATTTGGTTGCCAGATTGGGGTCGAAATGTCCTACATCCCTGGCCAGCCGGTCACTGCTGTGGTGGTGAGTACGCTCGCGCGGGCTTCTCCTAGTCTCGGCTTGCTCCCACTTTGCAGCGCGGTAAACTGACACCTCAAACAGGTTGACAAAGCGTCGAACCTGGGGCTTCTGCAAACCCCGCGGCCAGGGCTCCAGTCCCCAGTTACATCCGCGGTCTCCCCAGCCATGCAACAGAAGGCTGGGACCAAGAGCTTCCCGTGACCCTGGAACGAGGCCAGACTCCGTGCACTGCCGCTTTGGACTCCTTTCAGCCGGTCGGGGCGGGGAACACCGAGGAGAAAGGCCCGGTGGTAGGAGTCTGGGAAAGCGCCTAGGGCTTTCCTGGGCCTGTGACCCCAGCTGGGCAGCCGCGGGGGGTGGGCGCCGGCCTGGAAGTCCATGAATCGCAGCCTCTGGAATGAGGAAGTGCTTCCTCCACTGCAGTCGGCGCCGCCGCCCAGAGGGAGATTTGAGGGGTGGAGGTGTCCGGGGCCTGAGTAGCAGCCCCTTATCGCCCCCTCCCGTCCAGCCTTGCTTCGTCTGACACAGCCTCGCCCGGTGCACAGTTGAAGGCTCATACAAGTGGCTCGGTCCTGCTCGGAACTTTCTCTGTATCCCTAGCCCTTGGTTACCTGCCTGGCGTTTGGGGCCTGAGGTGACCCTTTGGGGCCCCTGCCCCCACCACGCCGACCTTGGCTTGTCTTGGGTGTCAGGTGCTTTTAGAATAATCAAAGGGTGGAAAGGAAGCTGGGACATTTGACCCAGACGCCAGTGCCAGAGCTGAATGGGGTCTAGAGGCCAACTCTGTCGTGGAGGTGGCGAGAGTGAGTCCCAGGGAGATCTGGTCATGGCCAGCCATATAAAGAAACCCTCAGGAAGAGCCCAGATCTCTAAGAAATGCCCGCTGGGCAGGCAGTGGGTCAGGTGGAAGTCCTAGCCTTGGAGTCATGGGACTGGCTGCATTATCTCAGATGGTTGTGCTTGACAATCAGGAGGTAGGGTGTGACACCACTGATAAGGGTGGACACCACTGATAAGGGTGGCGTGTGAGGCTGAGCTTAGATCACTAGCTCAGGCCTGGGCTAGGTGGAAACATTGCCGGAATTGCTGAGAGGTGTCCTAAGCTTCACCCTGGTTGCACCAGCCTCACACTTCCATATCCCTAACCGCCCCAGAGAGAAGGGGCCAGGTGTGCTCCTCAGCTGGAAAATGAGGGGTACAGGTGAGGAGCCAGAGAGCGGGCAGTAACCTGCCTAACAAGTCAGTGACAGGGCCTTGTCTCCCAGCCCCAGGGCCTGAACTTTTTCTCACCTTGAAGGCGGGTCAAAAGCGTGCAAAGGTCTGTGTTGGAGGTGGAGCAAGCCTAGAGGAGCTCACATTTTTGGGCATGAAGACCTAGGTCCGGGGGGCCTCAGGCGCTATGCATCCTGCCCCCCCCCCCCCCCCACTTCTCATGTTATGGCTGGTCCCTGGGTCTTCCTCAAAGCTGTGGACCATGACCTCCCAACCCATGTTTGAACATGGTGGGTGCGGTCTGGCTTCTCCCTGGTGCCTTGGACTACGGATGAGGTGGGGAAGGCTTCCTCCCTGGCCCCGCCCTCTCCTATGTAGTTAGCACCTTGAGAATGTTAAAACCATTTTGGCCTCTCTGAACTCTGGCTCCATAGGCCCATCTGCCTTCTGGATACCTGCTTGGATGGCTCCTGACACTCAAACTCAACATGGCCTTCTCCAGGGTCTCCATCAGAGACTCTGTTCAGCCAAGCCAGGTGGCCATGTGTTCCCCTTGACTCCTCTCTGCCATGAGCAGTCCCCAAGTCTGTTGATGTCACTTTTCAAGTAGCTCATGTCTTGGTCTCCACATCCCATCTCTTCAGAGAGGTCCACTCCCCTACTGACTGCCTGAGTGGTCATTCTGACCTCAAACTTGACCATGACCAGCCCTACTCCCCAACTCCTAAGAGCTCCAGTGGGTCCAGAGTCAAGGTCAGGTGTCCAGACTCCTGGTCACCCCCTGAAGGCCTGGTGTAAATGATCCCTCCTTTATGAAGCCCCTCAGGTCCAGATCAAGTCACCTTTTCTTTTTTAAAAATGTATTATTTTTTTAAAAATTATTTTTATTTTTATTTTAGCTGAGCCATCCTGCCACCTGTTGGCAGCTCAGCGGCAACTCAGCTCGGGCCGGACTCGAACCGCTGTTGCTCAGAGCTCAAACCTTTGAGTGAGCTCTTAACCAGCTGAGCCACTCAGCCAGCCCGAAAATTTAATTTTTTAATTTTTTTTTAAGGAGGGTGCAGCTCACAGTGGCTCATATGGGGGTATTAACACCACGCTTTAACCAACTGAGCTAACTGGCCATCCCTGCTTTTTTTCTTGTTAAAACTCTTAACTTTCATGTTAGGGTGATCTGGTCTGGTTCCCAGCATCTGGTGACTGGAACATGCCTGCTGAGGGTTTTGAAAGGAACCTGGCACAATTGGGGACCACAGTCCCAGAGCATGGTGGGAGTGCCCTAGGACTCTCGTCTGCCTCCTATGCTGCTCAAGAGCAGGACCTGGCGCTTAGGGAGAAGCCCCCTCCGTTGGGGCGTCTCCTGGCCTTGTATTTCATGGCCTTTTTGATCTGGCCCCAGCCTCATCTCCCCTCCCAGTTAGGGTTCTACTCTGTGTACTCTGGTCTCACAGGCAAGCACCTACAGTAGCCCCTTCAAGCCTCTGCTCCTGTTCCCTCGACCAGGACAGCCCTTCCTCTCCTTCCTGTGTGTTCGATTTCCATTTTTCCTGAGCATCTCCTGTCTTGCCTTTGAGCTGCCTCAGCAAGATACCTGCATTCCTACCCCGCCCCCCCAGGGCCTGACCCCTCCTGCTATGTGTGTTCCCTCTCCTGGGACAGAGCCCCCCATCCATAGTAGCCACAGCAGCCTGGCTCTTGGGCTAGGAGGGGCTTAGAGCACATGTTGATTAAGGCTGGTGCCCAACACAGAGGAGTCGGGAGAGGCTGGGACAGGGTTGTGTGGGTGGGTTGAAGTGGCTGAGTTCTGAGTCTCAACTCGCTGCTTCCAGGCTGGTGACCAGCTGGATTTCTGCAGAGCGCCCTGAGCCCCACCCTCTTGGCATGGCTGAGCTGTCCCAGCAGCCGGAGACTGCTGTGGGAGACATAGACCAGATTTGTTCTCCACATACCCACCCACCTCCAACTCATATTTTTCTTTGTCAGCAAAGAGTTGAAATTCACAAGCTGCGTCAAGGTGAGAACTTAATCCTGGGTTTCAGCATTGGAGGTGGAATTGACCAGGATCCCTCCCAGAATCCTTTCTCGGAAGACAAGACGGACAAGGTGAGAGGGGCCAGGGTCCTGGGGCCTCTCTGTGGGGCACAGAGGCCTGAGATAGTGGGTCTCTGCTTCCTGGGCCTTTGTGGAAGGAGCAGACCTCAACTCTTTAAAACAGTCTTGTCTAAGAAGGTCGAAGAAATGATCTGGTGGGAATAGGTAGGGGTGGGGGTGAGGTGTGGGCCTCCCAGCCCTAGGAAGGCCTGGTCAGAGAGCGCAGGAGCAGCAGGGGCTGGAGCGTCTGTGGGGCTGTCTCGGCACACCGTGTGCTGGGGGGAGGCTCAGTGCAGGGACAGACGGATGGCTGGGAGCATGCTCTCTGGGCTTTGCTCTGTGGATAAGGGGCCAGCCCAGTGAATCCAGAGCTTGACCTTGGCTGTCTCTTTCCAGGGCATTTACGTCACACGGGTATCTGAAGGAGGCCCTGCTGAAATTGCTGGGCTGCAGATTGGAGACAAGATCATGCAGGTAACATGTCCCAAAGGTGGAAGACAAGGCTTGGGTCAGAGGGTTTGAAGCACTCGGGTGGGGGTGGGGCTGCCCCTGCTTCCCAGAGCACCTGGGACACTCACCAAAGCCATTTTGGAACTCACCCTAGTGTTGCCCCCAGAGAAAGCCGGCTCTCTCTTCTGTGTGCGTCAAATGTGGGACATCAGAGCTTGGGGGCCTGCTTGGGTGACCCAGGACCCCCAAAGCCCATCCTGCTTCCAGATCCCAGAGGGCGGGAAGCTGAGGTGGCTGTATTCTCTCCCTGGACCAGGTGAATGGCTGGGACATGACCATGGTCACACACGACCAGGCTCGGAGGCGTCTCACCAAGCGTTCGGAGGAGGTGGTGCGCCTGCTGGTGACGCGGCAGTCGCTGCAGAAGGCCGTGCAGCAGTCCATGCTGTCCTAGCAGCCCGCCAGGGTCCTGACATGTGCCTGCCTGCCTCTTTGTACAGTGACACTACTATGCTGTCTGCCCCTCGTCCTGGCTTCCGCTGAGTGCTGGGCCCCTGCTCAGGTGGGCAAGAGCTGGTCCCAGAGGCCTGACCTGGCCTGCCTTCTCCTCTCCCACCAGTGGCCCAAGTCTCTGGGACCAGCTCTCTCCCTTGGACACTGAGGACTGGAAACAGCCGCCTGGAGCCAAGTAGTCAGTCTGTAGTGACCACAGGCTCGGCCCCTAGACCCTGCCGCCTGGCCTCAGCAGTGCCCAGGGGAGCGGTGGCCGCTTCCTGAGAGCCACCAACAAAGCTGGAAAATGCCAGGTGGGGCCAGCCTTCCCCACACTTTGTCCCGACTGAGGGCTCGGCCCGGCCCTCGTCTCAGCTCCAAAGTGCCTGTGTCCCATGCTTTTCCGTGTTGTCCAGTGGGGACTCGACACACTGCCAGACACTACGATGGTTCGCCAGGATGGAAGATGGGCAGGCTCACAGTTCACCCATTGCACCCCCACCCCTCAGAGGGGTGCTGGCCTCCCCCAGGGTTCACGTGCTTACAGGATTCAGATGAGGCTCGAGGCTGACATTTTAGGGCAGTTCTCAGGATTGCCGTTTTCCTCCATGCCTGTGGGTTTAACTTTTGTATTTTTTAAATCGCAACTTTGATACAAAGTGTTTTTATCTTACTATTTGGAGACGCCAATTCTACTTTTGACTTTAGCTTACTAATTCACATCTGGGAACGACTCTTAGCCAGTCAATAACCCTTACTTTGGTCACTGAAGAAATGGGGCAGTATTAAGCTGCCTCACACCCAACACCTTGTGCCCAATAAACAGTGCTGAAATCCACAGAGGGTCTTTGTTGAGGCATGAGGCATGGGGTTGGGCTACTTGAGGGTGGCTTTGGTTGTAAGGCTGAATGACCTGGCCCCAGATGCTCTGGGATGAAGCCCCACTATTCCCAGGCCCACCTGACACTGCTTGGCCAGGCTACATCTGTGGGATTGTGTGTGAGCACCTTCACTGGAAGTAGGGCAGGGAGCGCCCAACTTCCTTTGTGAACCTGGTCTCAGCTCCCTCCCAGGAGGGGAGGGGCTTCCTGGACACCAAGGAGTTCATGGGAAAAACACTCATGCCCTAAGACTCTTAAGAGCACTCAGACCATCATAGCCAGGGCTACAACCCCAGATGTTGCCAGGGTCTGCCATCTGAAAAGACGGGTAAGCTGGAGAGTTCTGGGCCTCCTCCTGGCCCACTGTTGGGTGCATTACCAGCTCTGGGAATTGGTGCCACTTGTGGACCCACTGCCAATTCAGATTTTCAATTTTTCAAATCAGATTTTTGAAATCTCCCATTTTCAAAGTGTGGCACCTGGTAACACATTGGTGGTCCAAATAAAACGGATGCATGTGCTTGGTCACGCTGCAGTCTCTGCTTTGGAAAAACAAGATCCTAAATTCTCTGATATTTGTTACAACAGGATAGAGGAAAAAGCAGACATGCCCCCACTTCCAGTGGTGGCGGCGTACCCTTAAAGGCCTCATCCAACCCCTGCTCACAACCACAGCTTGAGCAGCGTCCCCTTGGTCATGCAGGTACCTGTAGGACCTACCTGGCCCTGAGCAGGCAGGCATCTTGCATTATCCAAGAGGGTTCCCTGATGAAATGCCAGGTTGGCACGCAGGCACCTTGGGATCGGTGAACTCCACACCCCACGTTTTCTTACATGAAGTAAGGCCATCTCCCTAAGCCCTATGGACTTGGTTCTGAAGCCAACACACCTGCCTCCTGCATCTGGCAAATGGCTTAGTGTGCAAAAGGAAACAATCAGGTTTTAATTCAGATACCGGCCCCTGACATTGATATTGTAGTAAAAAGTCGGAATGGATTGACAAACTCAAGGCAGGTACAAGGCACGTCCTGGGACCCTCCCCTCCTGCCACAGGAGGGCGACTGCTTGGGTTGGGAGGGAAGGGGGTTTGGGATCAGGGCTTGGCCCACGAGAATTGTGTGAGGTGGTCTCAAGTCCTTATCTGAGGCTCCTGAACAGCCAAAAACTTGGCCTCAGGTAGGGGTCTGGGGGAAGTGAGGAAAGGGGACGCCTGCCTTTCCCCCCATGGGAGCTCCTCTCACCATCTGGCAGGTCTAAGAGGCCTCTAAGGCACATGTTCTGTGTGTCTCCTGCACACCAGATGCGGGTAAGTAACAGTTGGAGGGGCTCACATGGGGCCCGACTCTGGGAAAGTGGAGGTAGGCAGAAGGCAGAGGAAAGGAAGCCACTCACTTCCACAGCATCCCTCCAGAAAATCCAAAAGGGGTTAGTGTGGTCAAGATCCAGAGGGTGTTGCGTATGAGGCCAGTTCAGAATCTGTTGGGCACCTCAAGGCCCAGAAATACTGTTTCTTTAGGAGGCCCTGGCCTGGGCCACCTGGTAAGGACAGTCGTGCAAGTTGAGGGAGTGTCAGGCAGGTGAAGGTTCAGAGACTGTGGCCTTCAGAAAAGGGACCCCCCCCAAGGCCTAACTCCCAAGTCCTAGCCCCTCTGCCACCGGCACTAGCACCTGAATCCACTGGCTGCTTGGTCTCTGGGAACACAGCAGTGGCAGCAAAGCACCCTTGGCACTCTCAGCTGTGAGGTCAGTCCTTCAAGCTGCTCCTAGAAACACTGGTTGCTTGAGGCAAGGCCTTCGGCTGCAAGCTCAGTGCCCAGTCCTGCTTGGGATGGCTGTCAGAACCTGTGCGTGCTGCCTGAAGCCTTAAAGAAAATAGAGATGGCAGCATCAAGTTGTAGGAGGGCCAGATTCCTGGCCAGGAAGGCCGGGGAGGGGCTAAGACCTCTGGGGAGGCTTCGAGGGGCCGCCAGCATGCTGGCTTTTAATCTCGGAGCAGGGTCAGGTGTCTGTCCCAGAAGGAGGTTTCTCCCTGGCCATGGAGAGTCCTGGACGAAGGCAGGCTGGTTCGTGTTTAAGGCGTTTGGCCCTGAGGAAGAGAGCGCTTCTCCACTGTCGGCACACGGAGCCAGCCCTGCACTCCAGACCACTTCTCCAGCCTTCCTGGTGGGCACAGGGCCCGGGCCATTTACATGGGGGTCCTGGGTGCTAGTTCACCTGCTCATACCCTGGTTTCTTTCTGTACAAGCAGAAGTGCTGGACGAAGAAGACAATATCGAAGAAGATGGAGAAGATGCCGAGTCCAAACTTGGTAGGGTCTCCAAAGATCAGGGTCCACTGGTCTGTGAACAGCCAGAGGGGACAGAACCCAGTTTTAGGACGGCAGATCCTGAAGCAGCCGGAGCATGTGGGGCTACAGGGCGGGTGTGTGTGGGGGGGTGTCCTCCCCTGCCCAGGAAGCCACAAACCCTCCAGCTGCAATGCCCCTAGGTGATCTAGGTGCTGGGATTGCTTGGATGCCCAAGCTGCAGGGCTGGGGGCTGGGAGCTGGGGGGTGACCCAGCCCCAGCTTGTACCTTCAGCCCACAGCTGGCTGACTCACCGTTGTTGTAGGACTGGAGGAACATCTGGAGGAGGCTGAAGCAGCCCCCAGTGAAGTCCAGAAGCACATTGCCAATGCTCCAGCCCTCAGTGCTTTTGTAGTGAAAGTTCATGTAGGCCTGGGCAGGCAGACAGACAGAGAGATGGAGGGCGGTGAGGGGGCTGGGCGGCCGTCTCATGCACCTTGTGACTGCGACTCCACACAAGAGCGGCTCTAATTCCTCCCACTCGTGTGCTCTGGCCTCTGCTCCAAGGAACACAGTGACCTTTGGGCTCTGACAAGCCTTGGCGGAGGAACAGTCTGGGTGGGTCCTGGGGTCTCATCTGCATGCACAGCAAACAGAGCCTGCCTCCCCCACCCATCCCTGCACGCCCCAACGCCAACGGAGGGAGGCTGAAATGCTGCTTCTCCATCATCATCATCATCCCTCCCTGTTCTGGGACAAAGCCCTGTCCTGGTTTTCCAGCAACTCTGATTTTTCTCAACTCCAATGAAGATTCTCCCCAAACTCAACCTGGACTTCACGTTGTGCCTGTGAACTTGGGCTGGGAGCCCAATTGCCTGGTTTGGAATCCCAGCTCAACACTGGAGCTTTGTTACCTTGGGAGAGTTGCTTGAGTTCCCCTAGCCTTGGTTTCCCCATCTGTAGCGTAGACTTACCTCCCACCTCAGCCCTGGCTGGGTTCCGGGGCCTCTGTCTCAGGCTTCCCAGGTCTAGTGGGCAAGCCCCCCTCTTCCTCCTGCCAGTGCCCCCCATCCTTCTTCCGACAGTTTCTCTGACTGGTGTGACCTTCCTTCCTACCCCCGGGAGGGAGGGCTTGGCCTCTGTAGTGGTCTTCTCCTAGTCAGCCACCAGCCAGTCCCCTTCTTTGTCCTCTCCCACCCACTCCCTACTTGCTGCCCCCTCTCCAGTCTTGGACAGCTCCAAACGTCTCCAACTGGGGCTCCTGCCTCCCAGGTTTCCCAGCCCCAAGCCTTTCCACACTCAGGGACTGAGGTCTCACTTCCCTTAAGACCTTCCCCACTCTGAAGCCTTCTCCCCAAGCCCCCTGGGACTTGGCCCCGCCTTCCTAGCTTCAACACGGCCCAGCCAGTAAGGTCCCACTGCCTCCCATGCTTTCTGCCTGTGCTTTTGGGTAGGCTGCCCCTAGCCTGGAATGCCCCCTCCTGTGTCCACAGAATTAAGTCTTGCTTATCCTTAAGGGTCTGGCCCTCCAGGAGCCCGGCCCTGACTCTGGCCAAAACGTTCTCCTTCCTGAGCTCATTGGAACACAAGGTTCCCTGTGCTGGGGAAGCTGAAAAGGGGGCGTCTCCATTGAGAATGGGTGAGTTAAACGAAGCCCTACATTCATACGTGGAGTCTGCAGTTGGCATTTATTTCCTATGTGACCCTGTCCCGGGCCATTCCAGCTGTGGGGGAAGACGTGTTTGATTCTGAGTCCCTGGATCTGAATAGGACTGAGTGCTTGAGGGAGGGGGCTGAGGGCCCACAAGGAGGACCCATCTCAGGACGGGTGGTGGGGGTCGCAGTGGTGGGCTCTCTTCTCCCACCTAATCTTTCCCAAGTATCCTGCTGCTGCTCGTCAGGGACACCAGCTGTGGTAATGGGGGGCAGGGGTGGGGGGCAGAACTGCAGTCATTAGGGAGGCTGGGATGGAGAGACAGGGGCAACCTGCACAACCCCTGACGCTCAGAGCTGAGCATGAGCTCAGAGAAGTCTCCACTGACTTCCTCGTGGGATTCCTGGCTCCAGGGACGAGCAGGCCGTGGTAACAGGCAGCTTCGTGCCCGGCCGCGCTCCTGCTGGGCTCATGGCTTCCACCGAGCTTTCCATCCCGGTTTCCTCACTCTATTCAGAAGCTACCCCACGGAAGCAGGGCCCGGGGTCTGTATCACCCCCCTCACTCTAACAGCCATGGGAGAAATAAGGATGGCCTTGGGGGTACCTGTGGAAAGTACTTGACCAGTGTCACTGCCAGCTTGATGTAGGAGAAGCAGAAGAGAAACTGCAGCCATGTGGTTGCCCCAACGGCGGCCGTAATCATGATGATGAACGCGAAGAGCCACAAAAGCACCAGAAAGCCGATGGCAGGGCAGGACACGCGCTGGCTGCCTCGCTGAGGAGGAGATTGTGGGGGGAAGGTAGGTGAGGGCGCAGAGAGCCCAACATCAACAATGCCCTTGTCACTATCAGGGTCTTTAATTTGGTCCTTCTTGGACTTGCCAGAGCCTATTTGCTTCTTGTTTCCACAATGCAGAAACGGGTGCCTCAGAGCCCATGAAGCAAAGGGTGCTGAGAATGGAATCCCCAATACGCTAGCAGCCGGCACTTCATCCCAGCTCAGGCTTGTCCCACAATCCAGAGGGATCCTACTTAGCTCTGAAACCTGTCCCTGACCCCTACCTGTCCCCAAAGTAGGCCTCCTTCATCCAAGCTTCATAGCAAAGAGTAAGAAAACCTAGAAGGTTTGTGAAGGCGGGGCCCAAGCATCTCCTGGCTGGCACTGTGTGTGCGAAGGGAACTCCCTGAGGGAAGCGGTGCACCCACAGGGAAGTGAAAGAAAATGTGCATGTCAGTGACCACCCGAAATAGTCTAACGGTATCTTTCCCAGCTGAAGCACTAAATGAGCCTCTGGTAACATGGCTGAGTCCAGGCTCCTCAGCCTGGTACTCCAGACCCCTGAGGACCCCTCAGGACCCTTGTGAGCCTGCTCCCCCCACTGGCACCCTGAATCCCAGCTACCCCCATCTGCTCATGGTTCCTCTCACTGTCTCCGTGCTGGGGCTGCCCCACCCTGGTCCTTCCCCCATGGCCACAGGAACTCCACTCATCCCATGAACCACACTAAGCACCATTTCCTTGATGCCTTCCTCCCCTTCCTCCCTGGCTGGGTCAGGCCTCCAGGGCTTTCTGTGCTCTCCCCCTCCCTCAGCTCTCAGCCTGCTGAGTCATCACTGCCTCTGTGTCCCTCACGCCAGACCTAGGGGGGCCCGAGGGCTTGGGCTCATGTTGTGATCCCTGTGCCCAGCACGGGGACGGGACTATTATCTTGGCCCCAGTAAGCAGATGCTGAATGAACAAACACATCTGTGTCTTCCATAACACGGTAGGTATGAACGGTGGGTGGTGGTGGTGGGTGGTGGCCTGGCAGCCCACGGGGGTTGGGGGGCAGGTGCCAAATTCATCTCTCACCTCATACAGGAAGCACTGCACCAGGACAACCAGGGTGAGGGCGACTGCGTGCAGGCTGAAGAAGACATCATTACTCTCTACGGGGTTCACTCCATTCGGGTATTTAAGGAAAAACTGCTCCTGTTTGGGGGCGTGGAGAACAGCTGAAGGGCTAGGCCACTGGATAGCCTGGGCCGGGCTGTGGTGGGCGGGCAGTGTCCTACCTCGATGTGGGGCACCCAGAAGAGGCCGATGTTAAACACGCTGTAGGCCACGAAGCCCGTCAGGTTCAGGGTGACGAAGTCGAAGCTCAGACCAACAACACTGTGGGGCGGAGAGGTGGAGACACAAAGCAGGGCAGGGGGTGAGGCTGGGCCACCGGGGGCCTGGGAGGGACAGCGCTCCCAGCACACAGGAGGGAGGGCCTGGCTCCCCCAAGCAGAGAGAGCACTGTCCTCGGGTCCCTCTCCATGCCACAATCGATGCTGCCCCATCCCACTCTCTTGGGAACCAGTTTCTTCTATGCCTCAAGTCCTGGCCCCACAGGGAAGGCTGGACACCTCTTGCAGGAAGGAGGCCTCTCCCTCCTTGGCTCCCAGCTCCCCTAAGAGGCCCATATGCCTAGGATGACTGCAGAAAAGCTTGTGTCCTTGCTGCAAGAAGACGCAACCCCAGGCCCACTTTGTACGTATGTAGCTATTTATATGACATATAATTGACATATGATACCCTCTACATTTCAGGCATATATCACAAAATGATCCCCACGATAAGTCTAGTTACCATCTGTCACCATACAAAGTTACTACAATATTATTGACTATGTTCCCTGTGCTGTACCTCACACCCCTGTAACTTTACAACTAGAAGTTTGTACTTCTTAACCCTCTTCACCTATGTCACCCACCCAACCCCTCCTCCCCTCTCTGGTAACCACCAGTTTGTTTACTGTATCTATGAGCCTGCTTCTGTTTTGTTCCTGTTTTTAGATTCCACATTATAAGGGAAATCATACAGTATTTCTTTTTTGGTCCGACTTATTTCAGAATAATACTGAATCACTTAATCACTTAGCATAATACTGCCTAAACCCATCCATGTTGTTGCAAATGGCAAGATTTCATTCTTTTTTATAACTGAGTAATATTCTATTGTGTGTGTGTATGTATATATCACATCTTCTTTATCAAATCGTCTATGGACAGACACTTGGGTTTCTTCCATATCTTGGCTATTTATTGTAAATAGTGCTGCAATGAACATAAGGGTGCATATATCTCTTCAAATTAGTGTTTTCATTTTCTTTGGACAGACACCCAGAAGTGAAATTGCTGGGTCATATAGTTCTAGTTTTAATTTTTTGAGGAACTTTCACACTGTTTTCCATCATGGCTGCATCACTTTAAATCCCCCCCAACAGTGTATGAGGGTTCCCTTTTCTCCACATCCTCGCCAACACCCATTTTTTGTCTTTTTGACAATAGCCATTCTGGCAGATGTTCTATTTCTGTGAAAAACGCCACTGGTAATTTGATGGGGGTTGTATTGAATCTGTTGATTGCTTTGGTAAGTATGGCTATTTTAACAATATTAATTCTACGAACCATAAGCATGATATGGTTCCATTTATTTGTATCTTCGTCAATTTCTTTTATCCATGTCTTATAGTTTTCAGAACACAGGTCTTTCACTTCCTTGACTAAATTTATTCCTAGGCATTTTAATTTTTTGGTCAATTGTAAATGGGATTGGTGTCTTCATTTCTCTTTTTGAAACATTGTTATTAGTGAATAGCAATGCAACATAAATGGATTTCACTCACATATAAGCTAGGCGCCCCTTCAACCAGTTTTCTGGCTGTGCCGAGAGTGGGTGAGTCCGTCCCTGGAGCAAGTCTTAGTGTCGCGAACGGGATTCCCTTCGGCACCGTGTCTCCAGCTCTTCTACCCTTCTCTATGTGGTCTCTCTATCTGTGGTTGTGCAGAAGCTGTTCAATCGGCCCCCAGTTCTTCTTTAGGGGGAACTGCTCTATATGTAGGTGTGTCATGGGAGGAGGTGAGTTCAGGGTCTCCCTGAGCCCCTATCTTGGCCTCGTCTCCCACTTTATTTTATTTTTCACTAGGCAAAGATCTTTATTCTGTTTTCAAACTTATTCCCAAGCCCCTTCAGCTTAATTAGCTGCAAAGAATGATGTGTGTATAAGCAAAAATGAGAAGAGCTGCAGAGTCCAAGGGGCTTGGGCTTAAAAATATTAGAAATCAAGATTTTATCAGCTCCATGAACAAAATTTTAAAAAGCAGTCATAATAGAAAATAGCAGCTCCCAGTAACTTCAAGAAGTTTTATCTTCTTCAGAAGTTGACTCAATTCAGTGTGCTTCATTCTTGGAAACCTCCTCAAAATTCTCCACAAGATCTGGACCTTCACCAACATCCTCCTCTCCGGTAGCAAGTGGTGCTTTTCCATCCCCAGGTGGTCTGGGCAGAGCTTCGGCCAGTCTCCTTGAACTAGTCAGGCTGTGTGCACCAAACTGGTTTGCAATACCGGGTAGCCTTTCTGTCAGCTGCTTGGTCTCAGCGTGGCCTGTGATGGTGAGAGTGTTCGCGGCCAGAGAGGGCTGCACATTAGGGTGGTTCAAGTGGACCACTGTCCCTTGGTTTGTGAACATAGTCACCTCTTCAACGCCACAGATGGTGTTTACCCCTAACTTCTTTAAGGAGAACTGAAATTTTTTATCAGCTGCTGTAGCTGTTCTGTGAACCACCTTCTTCTTTCTGCCAGCAGTTCCTCTCCCACCAATGCGCACCTGTGCCTGCAGTTTGCCGAGTTCCCCCTGGTTCATGATAGTTTCTTTCATCTTGTTGAAGAGGAAACAGGGCCACTCAGGGGATCTTGGGCAGATCAGCTGAGAAAAAATGCACACACGAGGGGACGCCAGATGGCAGCTAGAGCTATTTTAAAAATCAAGGTGGGAAGGCTTAATCTCCAACGCCAAAGGATCCAACTCTGGCTCGGGAGCATGACTTGACACTAATTCCTCCAGGGTTGGATGGACCAAGAGGAGAGCGTATTTGGGTGGACTTCCTCACCACCCAGCCCATTTTCTACTTCGCTGAGAAGCCCCATTTTGGTGCTTTCACAGGGATAGCTGACTTGGCCAAGAGCCCAAATGACCAGCAGTGCAAGAGCTACCCCAGGCTCTTAGAGCTTTCACATCAACAACTTTCTAGAAAGGGCAGGAAGAGAGAAGAGCAGAGGGAGACAGTCTGAACCCATGCTGCCTACAGCCTCTCTGGGATGCCCCTGTCATACCGGCCCCAAATGAACCTGCACATATAGCTTAAAAGGTTACCTTTTCCGCCTCCAGTTCTTGATCACCTGAGGGTAGAAGGAGACGGACCAGGCTGCAAAGTAGATCCAGCCAATCACCTTGTTTATGATGCTCACGACACTGCTGTGTATCACCAAGAAGCGTATCCTTGGGCTGGAAAGAATGTGGGGACCCGTATGAGCTGAGGCTGGGCTTCTGAAGGAAATCCCCGTGTGCCCAGCACTGCTGCCCTTTTCATCATTGAAGGCTCAACTTACCTGGTTTGGTTGGAATGATTTACATGCAGAAAAGCAGTCATTTGCCCCACATTTTGAGATGTCACTTGAAAAGAGGAATCTGTCACTCTGGGAGGCACCACAACCTGTAAGGAAAACTGAGTTTGATCCAGTGCCATGAATTTATGGGGACCTCACTGAGTGTCCAGCTCAGGCTATGTACTAGGAAATGGGGGGACAGATCACTCAAGGTCCCAGCCTTCCAGAAGCTCACTAACAGAAAGGAGAAAACCTTGGACCAACCAGTCAACTGGAACCCCCATACACCTGTGTGTTAGGCTTACTGAGCGGAAAAACAGTTCTGCTCTCAGACCTTCCCCTGGCTTATCTCCCGGGAAAGGTGGGATGATTCTCTTCCTGTCACTAGCCATGTGACCTGTAGATCAAGCCAGACCTCAAAGAGAGATGAGTGCCAGAACCTGTTGTTAGAACCATTGGTTTTTCTTACCCTGCAGCAGGACTCATACCCTGGGGCAGGAGAAGTTGTGAGAAATGACCCTGGTTAATGATGTGTGATGTTCACCATGGGATGAGATGAGATTGCATTCTCACACGAGGTCCTTTAGGGTAGACACCCTTCATCTGACTATGCTTCAATACTGACTGCTTGCTAGGGGGCTCAGAGTGGATTTGCAGCCCATTTCTATAACCACATAGGACCTCATGACATGCCTCATGGTTATCAATTTCATTCCTGCATTCATCTTGTCTGTTTTCTTTTAAATCCTCATGTACACTCTACATTACTGCCTCCCCTATTGATTTTTTTTTTTTTAAGATTTTATTGGGGAATTGGGGAAGGGGAGCAGACAGGTTGCTGTCCTTTTGTTCTTTAGTCTAGTTGTAGAGGATGTCACTTCACTGGCCCATGTTGGTATTATCATTGTGCTTTTCCCGGGTGAGGCAGATTGGTCGCCAGTCACTGGACGGCTGCTCACGGTGGCTCTTGGCAGCTCACGCCAGCTGCTGGCCGCTCACGGTAGCTTACGGGAGCCCACTGCAACTCCACGGCAGCCTATGCCATCGCCGGCAACTCACGGCAGCCCAGCTCCAGGTTGAGCTGTAGTTCACTATCTTAGCTGTAGAGGGCAGTGTCACTGACCCTCATGTGGGATCCGAACCGGGGCCCTGCTGCTCAGAGCTGGCGTCCCAAGCCAACTCTTAACCAATGTGCCACTCGGCTGCCCCCCCCCCCAATTAATGTTTTTAAATCTAGTTTATTGGTAATTGGCTCAAATCCTTGCTAAGGTAGAAGTAGGGTATATATTCAACAGATAAATGCATAAGGGCTATGAATAGTTATCACTGTGATACCAGTAAGACTCTGATTTTAGAAATAACACTCACACTCAACCAATGGAGTTGCAGAAGTGCTTGGCAAACTTTAACGTGGACCCAAATCATCTAGGGATCTTGTTCATGTGCAGATTTTGAATCAGTAGATCTGGGATGGGGCCTGCATTTCTAAAAGGTTTTCAAGCAGGAACAATGCTGCTGGTCCATGCACACCCTTTGAGTAGCAAGGTCTTAGAAAACCATCTTAAGAATTTCTTCTACATCCTCAGAACCATTATTTTTGGCCTCAGATTTCTTACAATCACCTTCCTAATTCCATCTACATGGCATAAAATACCAGTCCTCAAAGAGACCAATAAAACTAAAATCAGAGATTTCTAGAATGAAGGGACAGGGGCAGCCCATAGTATAAAAGCAAGGTAGCCTATCTCCAGAAGCACTTAATTAAAATGTGTTTTGCTACCCAGCAGTTCAATCAGTTAAGTTCATTACTTACTTCATCAGGGAGCTCAAGGATAGTGATATTCTTTGAACGAAATGTGATTTCAAAAGTGATCACCAAGGTTGTATTTAACGGATGCCTGTGGAGGACAAGAGTCTGATTACTGCTGAGAAGTTGGACACTGTGAGATCTCAACCAACCTTCAGTATGTCATTTCGGGCCTGTCATTTCTCAAGCAATTAGGGTGAGAAAGTGCTACGACTTGGCATGAGGGGTAGAGAGCTAGGCTCCGTGCTCCTTAGGAGTTTTTTGTTTATCAGGAGACAAGACGTCCCACTGGGTGAGAACATGAGAAGGTGGGAAACTGGCTGTGAATGCCAAATAAGGTGTCCAGAGTCAGGCCATGATCATGGCATCTACTCTGGTGGGAAAGGCTTCTGAGAGGACTCAGGTCTGGGCATGGAGTAGCCCGTGGGGGCCTCATGTCTGGCTTTAGAGGCCTGGGTTAATTTGGAAGGCAGTGGACAGCCACTTAAGGATTCTGGGGAGGGGAGAGTTGCGGAGAGGGAATGATGTGAAGGTCTGTTAGGGAGCTGTGGTCCCAAAGCTTGGTTTGAGAACAGACTCTGTAGGAGACATGAGGGAAAGGGAGAAGAGTCAAGAGAAAAGGACAGGGTTCCAGGCCTTCATCTTCGGGAATCCTTGTGGCCGGGAGGCAGGAGTAGGGCAAAGCAGTGAAGGATACAGAAGACAAGGCAGGCTCTCTGGCCCAGTCTGGACTAGGTCGGCACCCTTATGTCTGAACCAGCGGAGGTCAGCGTGAAAGACTCTCAGATCAGGCTAAGGATGAGAGTCCCGTGATTGGGCTGCACCCAGTGGAATCACTTCTGCTTTTGGAAGTGATCTCCGAAGTGCTCAGTTCCTTACACCCTGACCTTCAGGGCTCCCCTGAAATAGTTAAGAGCTGTGGAAAGGACCACTTTGAGGTCTGGCACCAACTGCTGGTCACTCAAGGACTCTTCTCAGCTGGGGTAAAGGCTCATGTCTCTGGGAAGAAGCCCCCTTCCTGCTCCTCCCACCGGAAACAAGGATTCAGTAGTTGTGGGGAGAGAGTCTCTGGGACCTCGACCTGCAGCCCAGGGCTAGCACCTCTCTTTCTCTGGCTGGTCTTAACGCAAAGCGGCAAGAGCATCACACTTGAAACACGAACGGACTGAGCCAGGAGTCAGCCTTGACCCAGCCATGGGGTGAATGAACTGGGCTGAGGAGAGTGCTGGGCCTGGGAACTTACTCAAGGGAGATGCTGATGTTCGCGGAGCTTCCATTTTCCAGCTTGACAGTGGGAGGAACAGTGAGGTTGACCGTTGACTCTGGAAGGACCCAAATCAATGACACGAGTCATTAGGTCACAGAGCGTAGGCCCACAAGGAGACACTGGGACAGGGGCCCCTGACATCTCAACTCATGAGCTCTGACTCATGACAACCCGAATCTTCTAGGTGAAGACAAGGTGGTTCTGAGGGGCTAAGTGGTGGGACTGGAAACCTAAGCCCTTTTGATACTCTTTTTCCTCCTGCTTCCAAAGACAGACAAAGGGAGACACAAGTCTGAGCAGGAGACACTGTAGCTTCCTCCTCCCCGACATGACAGGCTCTGAGGGTCTGCAGTTGAGTTACCAGGAGATAGTTTTAGAACCACAGAGCCCAAAAACTGTCACAAAGGAACCCAAAACGCAACTTGGGATTGGAAAATATGGATTTGAACCACTCCTTCAGACTGAAATCACAGGTGTCTCCTGTTCGTGGAGCTAAAATGTTTGTGGACCCTGCAGAACTGGTCCAGCCCCTTCTTATACTCAGAGTCACAGGGGGCCCAGCTAACCTGTTCCTGAAGAACCCCTTTGGGGCCCCCATACTAAACCCGCTCAACTCATTCACTGATCCCCTTCCTGAGGCTGACTCTGCTGGGACTTGGGGGATGACGGGTGAGCAAGACACACTATTTCATTCGCAGGGATTTCTTCTCGGCATTTAGGTGTTAACTCAGGGTAAGGCAGACAAGTAGGCCTCTGGGGTGAGGGAAGAAGCAGCTTTGGAGGCCAGAAACCCCAGATCAACTTGGCCACAGAACATAAGTGAGTCTGCTTCTCTCTGACCTCTTCCTGTGTTCTTTGCACAGTCCCCACCCCGCCTCTACCCCTACTCCCAGGTGTGCTCAAAGCTCAAGGCACCTGTCCAACTCACCTCCCTTACCTTAAGGCCTTCAGGGTTATGCAGGACCTAAGGTGTGATCATGTGATCATGAATCTAGAATGGGACTGGAACGGGGCCCACAAGGGGAAAGCAGGCGCTGAACTTGATGAAGAGGGTCCTTGTGGAGGTAGTGGCTGCAGGCAGGGCCCAGGTCTCCCTCTCCCCAGACCCATCAAAGGCAGAAGATGAACTGAAATTTTAGGTGCTCAGTTTGAAAGGGGACTTAAAAGTTTCCTATTTCAACCTCCACTGTCTGATCCCCTTTCTCAATACTCCTTCCTGGAAGTTTCTCTTCCTGTGCCCGGACACCTTGAGGGACAGTAACTCCATCTCCTCCAAGGGAATGGGCCAGTCTGGAACTTGCACTCCTGGGCCTGGCTCTGCTCCCTGGGACCTCTCAGACCCTATCTGTGGCACCTTTCCCATGCTAAGCCTGTATGCGTGAATGCTGATGCAGGCACTATCTCTCATGTCTGCAAGTCTCCAAGCTGACTCTCACAGTCCCAGGTCCCCAGTCCCCCACCAGGGTCCCTCAGAGCGGCATGTTGTAACCCTAACCCTTACAGAGGCCAAGCTGCTCAGAGCAGAGTAGGATGGTCCATCCCCTACATGTAGCCTTGGGGCTTTGAGGCAGCTTTGGCAAGTCTGCCTCTTCTTTTTCACTCACTGCTCTGGGCATGCGCAGCTGGGATAGTAGGATTTAAGGTCCCTGCTGTTACCTTCTACCTAGAGCTGAGCAAGACCCTGATACGACAGAGCCCGGGACAGGGACACTGAGTGATGCCAGGTAGCCACCAACACCTCTGGGTCCTCAGGGCTCTGCTGCGGCTGTGGTCAGGGAGTGGGAGATCCCTAAGGCCTCTGCTCTTTCACCGTGTTTACACTTTAAAAGAGGAGGCTGTGAGCTCTCAAAGAACCAGATCAAGGAACGTTTACTTCCCTCTCACTTAGGGCCACCAAGGACAATGGTGCTCAGCAGCCAAGACACTGCGCTCTGAAGTCAAGCAGATCCATCCTGGCTCTGTCACTTCCTAGCTGTGTGACCATGGGCAAGGTACTTAACCTCTCTGAGCCGTTTCCTCATTTGTAAAATGGGGAGAATAGTGCTACCTATCTCACCGGGTATTGTGAAGATAAAGTGGTGATATTTGTGAGGGTCCACATGGCCTGCGTGCTAAGTCACTGTTGGTGACTATTCTTATCATCATGTAAACAAGGCAGGACTTTTTTTTTTTAGCTCAAGATGGAAGGCAGTTAGGAAGCTGTCCTCATAACCTGGGAAAACACATTTTAAAGTTTGCCTTGGGGCACAAGTCTCTGGACACCACATCAGAATTTCCAAATGAGTTTTAATGAGACCACCCCCAAGTTTCTCCTCAGGAGAGTCTGGTTTTTTTCTTTAATCTAATACTTATTGGCATCTCCTACTGCGCTCCCCACCCCCACACCAGCCACTCTGCGACAGTGTTAACTCACATTCTTTAACTATTACAACAGTGAGAGGTGGGATTATGGTTTGTATTTCAGATATAAGGAGACTGATATCCCAAGAGGGAAAGTGTCTTGCCCACACAGTGCAGAAAAGGTGGCAGCAGGACTCAAATCTAGGCCTGTCTGGTCTACAGCCCAGGTTCTTGCCACTAGGTCGCAGGGCCTCAAGATTTCACCCAAACAAGTCAGAGGCAAAATATTCCGAAGGCCAATCATCTCATCTACAGTTCCCGATGATCATCCTTCAAAGGAAAAAGAAGACAGATCCGGCAGAACGAGGTCAGAAAGCCAATTCCAGTTACTTGATTTCAGGGTGGTTTCCACTGTTCTTGAGAATTACATTCAGGAAAGCAGGTAAAGTGATAAAAATGGAGCAGGCATCCTACGCAAGTCCCATCTTTGTTACTTTCTAGTTCTGTGACTTTGGGGAAGGCATCTACCCAATTTGGGCCTAAATTTCCCCTCTGCATAATTGGATTTATTCTTCTTCCTCAGAGCAATGCATTAGCATTGCTAAGGGAGCTTTATTTAAAGCCTGCCAACGCATGCATGCATGCATGCATACACCTACTGGGTCCCAGAGAATATGACCCAGAGGGTCTGGAGTGAGGCTCTGGCATCTGTACTGAGAAACACCAGGCTTCATGGTCTGATCTTCCCTTTATTGGAAATTACTTATCCACAAGGTGTGACTGCAATGTACCATGAGAGCTTATCTAACAAACCTGGAAGAGCTGATGAGATGACTATTTCCTCAGAGATTTAAGAGGCCTGATAACTGTCATGGCACAGCCACTGTGCCTGGCTCTTGGGAAACTTCCACAGGATTTGCATTGTTTGTACAAGGTTCATTTGAATTCTTCAGTCAGGGTTTTTAAGATGTATTGGATTTTTGACAACAGCCAAGATAATGGGTGTGGGGACCTAGGAGTGCTCAACAAATGCCTTTTGTGGAAGGAATTTCAGCAATGCTTTGAACAGCGGGAGAACTGACGCTATGATGCAGGTCTCTCAGGGCCCTGCTCTGAAAGTCAAACCGGACAAGGATGTATAAACCCGACATTTTTTTTCTGTTTGTTTTGACAACCAGCCAGTGTTCTGTGAGGCCCCTAGCCCTGTACATCAGTCCCTCTCTAAGAAAAGGTTTCTCATCTTACAAGGGTATGCTGGGAAGACTCTTTAGATGTCTGTGGACTAGCAGACAAGGCACAACAAGGTGAGGCCACAGCACCTGCTTCTGCAGCATCTCCCAGGATCCAAAACTCCCTCTGTGAGGTCCACAGGACAGGTACAAAAGCCCTTCTTTACAGATACTACCCCAGATAGTTGGAACTCCACTTTGATTTTGGTGATACAGACAAGGTAATAGGGATCCTGGGGCAGAAGGCCAATTATTTCTGGAACCATCTGGCTCCTTGTAAATCTCCTTGACCCCTGGCTTGGGTCTGCTGCACCACCCAGTGGCTGCTTGGCCCAGGGGCAGGCAAGTACACAGTCCGGACAGTCCTAAACCCTTGGCTACAAACAGATCAGGCTACTTAGGCTATAGCATCATTTCCCTCTTTGCAAAGTTGATGACCCATTTCTCAACTTACCACATTTTTCTATGAGCTTCAGAGGAAAAAGGATAAAAATAATCAGCCAACTCCTTAGCATGTTCCTTGATTTCAAAGAGCTAGGAAGAAAAAACAAATAGCCAGAGAAGTTCAGGTTAAAGTTGGATCAGCTCAGCAGCAAGTGGACAATATGCCACCTGGAACCATGGCATGGACAGTTCATAAAGGACTTTCACTTACACCTGTGACCTCATGGGCTTTGCATCACCAGCTTGGAGAGGAGGATTGCAGGGAGGACTTATCTTTCTTTGATATGTGAGGAAATGGGCTCAGAGGGACTAGGTGGGTTGTGTAAGGCCCCACTCTAAGGAAGTGAGCAAACACTGAAATTTTCCCTTTTTAACTGCTTCTTGCAACCTAGTTAACAGGAAGAATGCAGTTTTACCGGTGGAGGTTCTTTTTTTCCAGTTATTAAAACTGTAGTTAGATATTTGATTTTGTGAACCTATAAACCTTAAGGAAATTAATTTCATTCCCTGTCCCGGGATAAGAGCCTAAGTGTTGTTATTTTCCTCAAAATTGTGGGAAAAGGCAGAGCCCAGTGGTCCTCCCTTCCTTCAGCCAGAGGGCAGGGTGGGGTCTCGTCCTGCCCACACCCCCAGAGCTCAGCTTAGAACTCAGCACACTGAAAAGAATTCCTGGAATGACCCTCTCAGCGTCTGCCTTCTCTCTCCAAAGCAATCTGCAAACCCCGCGACTCAGATTCAGGCGGCAACTAAGCAGAAGGCGGGGAAGGGGCTCGGACCTGCACTTGGGGTAGTGTCATCCCCAGCACCTCGGCAGCCCGGTGAACCCTGCCTCTGCTCACCGCCACCCGGGCCCTCGAACCTGGGGAATGTCCCGTGTCGCAAGGCCGAGACTGGTGGCAGGGGATGAAACCCTGGCCAGGCTGGGGGCTGGATTTACTGCAAGCTGCCCAACCGACTTGCTGCACCAGTCTCTGTGCCTCAGGGGGGGTCCATCTGGGGGGAATGGAGGGAGGCTGTCGGGGCCGCGCTGGCTCTCACCTGAGATCCTCTGAGGCTCCGGGGACCCACCACACCGGACGAAGGCTATGCTTCAGACTGGACTCGCTTCCCCGGGCCGGCTTGACTGTGTGTGAGGGCGGGCCTGAAGTCACCTGACCCAAGTCACCTGAGTAAGTATCTCGGCGCGATGCACTGTGGGAGCTGTAGTTTTCACTAGAGGGACACGTGGGCAGGGCTGGGTTGGGTTGGCGCGGAGCGGAGCGAGCGCAGGAACCTTGGCAGGGATGGAGGCTGTGTTGTCAGGGAGGATTAAGTCACTTTTAGAGACACAGAGGCTCTCGGAGCCCCGAGCGCCTGTCAGCGAACTTTGCGCTGCTTTGGAGAGTAAAGCAGGGACCGCGCTGGTGAGGCAGCCGCCGCCACCACCACGGAACCTCAGCCTGACGGGGTGGGACCCTGTAGGTCCCGCCTTCCGCCGCCTCTCCGTGTATGGCCGGGCTCGCGGCAAGGCCCCGCCTCGGAGCCGTGGTCCCTGGTGAAGTGTGCGGGAGGGGGCGCCTCTGAGGCGACGAGACGTCCGCTGTGCCCCACGGCCATGGCTACACCGGCGGTCACTCTCGGCATCGACCTGGGCACCACGTCTGTGAAGGCGGCCTTGCTGGAGGCCGCGCCCGGCGACCCATCGGGGTTCGTGGTACTGGCCAGCTGCGTCCGGGCTACGCGGGCCGAGGCGGAGGCCCAGAGCGCGGCGGCGGCGCCCCAGGTGAGGCAGCGCCCTGGAGCCGCGCCGCCTCCAGGAGCCTGCTGACACCCTCTTCCTTTCTCAAGGTGGTCTCCCCGACCTCCCCCTTCCTCAGAGAAGTCTCCCTGACTGCGCCAGTCGGCCTGACCCCCGCCTGTCCTGCTGCAGCTCCCCTGATCCGTTAGGCCTGGTCCCAGGAGCTTTTCTACCTGCCGACACCAACCCTCCACCCTGGCCTCCTCTAGGAGCTGTGCCCATGCGCCGTATCCCCTTCTCTCTGCTCTCCGCCCTCCTCTCTCTCTACTCTGACCCGCGGGCAATTCCTCTCCTTGTGTCACGTGGAATGACTGGCCACAGGCCTCCCTCTCATTCCTGCAGCGCTTTGCTTACACCTGCCTGTGTCCTCAAGTTCAGGATTCAGCTTGTTTCCCAGGGCAAAGTTTTGGTTTTTCACTGGAAATCAGATGCAGAATCAGGCCTAACCGGAGTGGAATGTGAACCGACGAACTCAGACACTTGGTCAACAAAAATCCACCCTCCCCGCCCTCCCGCGCCAAGTCCCCAGTCCCCAAAAGATGAGACATCTTGGAGGAAAGACAGAAAGACATTGAGAGATACCGCGATTAGAAAAAGATCAAATTGATAATTATACACTCACTACAACTGTTACCTTGTAAAATTTAGCAATGATACACCACAACTAGGATCTTGTGAAAGATACATGATATAAACGGAGAGTTTCACGGCAGTGGACTCTGTTGTGAGATGTGGGTTCAGAAAAGATGTCCATCTTCAGAGCTGGATTTCATGAATTCCCTGAAAAAAGGTAGTTCTATGGTCAGTTAATTGACAATAGAAGTTAATATCAAGAGACCTTCTGAGTAACCTCATGATTTTTTTCTGGCTCTCCCGGCTTGTTCTTCTCCCGGTTGAAATAGGTGCCCTCTATGGCCCCTTCTAGCCACAAACCTGAGTTTCTGAGCCAAGCCCCACTCCCAAGAGCTTTGTTTTTCTCAAGCTCTTGCCACATATCTGGAATCAGTTCTTTAAGGTTCAGAGTCCATCTTGCTCAGAAGCGTTTCAGAGGATAAAGATTTCAGGAGCACATTGCATTTTCATAGAGGCTTTCAAAATTAGTTTGGTCGGGGTATCATGCATTTTAGAATGATTATTTCCCTTCGTGGACTATGAGATGGAGGCAAAGTCAGCCCTGACCCTGTGGAGGTTAGCAGCAGAGCCTCTACTATGTTTCCAATGGCGAACTTCTTAATGGCCTTGTCCTTGGGTACATGTCGGGTGCCGCCGGTGCATTGAGTAGGCTGCCCGTGGCCGCAGCCCTTTTTGGCATGACCATTGTTCCTTCTTTTCTTGGTCATCTAGAAAGTGAGGACTCGAGAGACTTAAGTTCTTTTTTCAAACCTGAAGTCCTAGGATTTGATCTGGATGTAGACCCAACTGATATTCTGAACCGAGGAATGGGGGCAGCGCCTTTCCTGTTACGTTGTGGGTATACCCATCGTCAGTCCTCCATCACACTCACCACTAAAGCTCAAATTAACTGTTAAACACTGACTGTCTCCTTGACTTCACTCCTATGCGACCTGTTTCCCTCCTCGCTATCCCCACCCACACAACTCACCCACCCTGGGCCCATTTTAAACAGCAGGTCCTCTGTCCTGGGCTGATGCACCATCTGATGGCCACATGGAAGCTCTTTAAACCAGCACTGTCCAATAAAAATTTGAGCCACAAACGTGAGCTACACGAGTAATGCTCAATTTTCTAGTAGCCATGTTTAAAAAAAGTAAAAAGTAACACGTGACTTTTTAATTCTAATTGCATATTTTATTGAACCCAATATTTCCAACATAGTAGCATTGCAATATGTGCTAATTAGTATAAAATTACTAATGACATAGTGTGCATTCTTTTTTTTTTTCATACTACATCTGAAATCTGGTCTGTATTTTACACTTACAGCACATCTCAATTCAGGTTAGCCACACGTGGCTAATGACTGCCATACTGGACAGTGCAGGTTTAAACAAAAGTCTATTCCCTGCTTCCTTCTTTCTCCCCCTGCTGTTTTCTTTCTTCCCTCCTTGGGGGATCCTGCATAGCCATGTACCTCCTCTTTGCCCGTCTTTCACTGCCAAGTCAGTTCTGCTATAGTCTCGCCTCTATATGAAGAGTCTTATTAGCATCTGGGGTTGCCTCCTCAGGAAAATGACTTGTGCTCCCTTTCTGTTTCTTCTTGCCCGGTTCTACCTCTCTTCACCTTTCTTTCTGCTCCTTTGTTCGTGCTTATGAGGAGCAAAGAATTGCCCCTGTCCAAGGCCAGCAGGCTGACAGGGCAAGTGAGGGGTTTGTTCCAAAGAGGGGAGGGCTGCACTCCTCCCTGGAGGGAAGCAAGGGGCCTGAGGGCTCAGTTTTCAAATGCTTTTCCAAGACCATCAGCTTTGCCAGTTCCCCAATGAACAGATTAAATTTATTAAGAGCTCAGCCACACTCTGTTTTCCTCTCTTGAATTTTCTGTGGATTTTTCTAGGTGTTACATATAAGTTATTGTGTGCCTGGAGGTGATTTCTGTGTGGCAGAAACATTTTACTTTGGTTGAAATCAAAATAATTCAGAACCCTGGTTCTTAAGCTTTTAATTTACCTCATAAAGCTTATTCCATTTATGAGTCTAACATGTAACCGTCATTTTTGAGGGCCTATGAATAATACTTAATCCTGTTGTAGTTAATTAAATACCTTAGCTGTTTTAAACTGCAGTTAATCATTTAATATATTTTCTTTTCTAGGCACTGCAGGTGTCTGACCTAAATCTTTTCAGAATAATTCTTATAAATCTAATAAATTAAATGTGTAACTATGCAAACCTCAAATGTTCTTATATGTTTCAAATTCTTTTACACATATGGTGAGATTTGAACTTACAATCACAATCTAGATCAGTTTCACATTTTATTTTTTGTCTTGTTTTTGTTTTTCTTTTTTTTTCAGTTTCACATTTTAAATTGGAGTTAACAAAGGTAATCTAGGCCAAATTCTCTTAAACATATAAATTTATTTAAAATACCAAATACCACAAAGATTGCTTAAGCACAATATTAACCACATAGGTATGAGTCTTTTAAACACTCATACGTTTAATTCTTGATCATTGCACTTTGAAATTTACTTATTCACCAAGAAAACAATGGTGTCTCTTGGATTGCTTTTCTAAGTGCACATTTTGTGGTGGCCTCCTTCGCTTATTGAGACGTCTCTCTGATCAGAGGCATCCAATGGGGTGGGGTGGGACCCTGGAGTCCTATTCCTAGTCTCTAAAAGGGACTTGGTAATTTAAAGGAAGAGGTAGTCATGAAACCCAAATTTCTTGGGTTTGAGTCACATTGTTGCCTACTTTGGAAGTTAGTCTGTACCTCCCACCCATCTGGATATACTGCTGGATTGAATTTAATATTTCTTTAGCTCTGAGATACTGCAATACATTTTCCCATCTGGCTCTGAAGACCTTTGAACGTTTCTAATTCCTGATTTCTTTTAAAATTCTTGTCTCTTAGGACCATTCGACTCTTATTACAACGCTGTTTGGTTACTTTCTGCTTATCTCTCATGACTTTGTCTCTCAAGGCTATTTTGCCTAGAGAAGTTTCCAAGGAGGCAGCAAGTCGGAAGAAAAGGCAAATCAAGAAAAGATGGTCCTGATTTTCTTGAACTTCTTTTCCACCCTCCCCACCCCCAACATGTCTTTACACTATCAGTCTCTCTCTGTGTAGCGTCTGCCATTGCCCAATTCATCTCCTGAAAACATAGCTCTGATGGTGATACTCCTCCACTTAGAAAGCCCCAGGCGTTCACCATTTCCCTTAGGAAGCCCCTCGCCCTGGGGCTGGAGGCCTGCTGATTGGGCCCCAGCCTGTCCTCTTTCCCAGCCTCCCACCACCCCCTCTCACAGCCCTCCAGCTGATGCTGCGCCCAGGTGTTCCCTGGCCTTCCTCCATGCCTGCCTTCCCTCAGTGGGTTTTTGTTTCCAAGTCCAGGGCCTGGCCCTTAGGTAACTCAGGAAATGTTTGCAGATGGATGAACTGAAGCCCAGGTGGGAGGTAGGGCTCATCCTAAAGTGCTCTCGTCCTCGAGGCCTTTCTTGCCTGCACCTTTCCTGCCAGGTTTCTCCCTGCTATGTTCCATCTGTTTCTTACCCTCTATACTCTATGTGCTTTGCGAAAGACCCTCACCTTATTTGTCCTTACAGCATGGTCTGTCTTGTGTTTTCCTGTCTTTCCTGCTAGATGTAACTTTTTGTAGGGCAGGGACAGGGCTTTTCTCAGCTGACACAGTGGAGGGGCGAGCCTGGGCCATTTGTTGAACCTACTCTGCAGCAGTGCCTCAATCTGCGAAAGGAGGGAGTGGAACCTTGTCCACCACATTCCAACTGCAAGCCCTGCTGGAGGTGGTGGAGCACTCTCAGTCTCACGTCTCTTCCCTGAGGCTGGTCGGCACGTGTCCCCAGTGGAATTAGCAGGGCAGCCACCACCCAGGGAATCTGCCTGCCTCTGCTTGCCTGTCTGTATGCCCTTGCTCAACGCATCCTGTTCTGTTTCCAGGCGCGGGAGCAGGATGTGAGTAGAATCATCCAAGCCCTAAACGAGTGCGTTGCTGCCCTGCCCCAGCAGGAGCTGCGGAAAGTCTGCAGCATTGGAGTGTCAGGACAGATGCACGGAGTCATGTTTTGGAAAACAAACCAAGGTATGCTGGGCTCTGGGGATGATCACATGCTAACAGTCACTGTGGAATGAGAAAAGTGCAGTCCAGGGCTGTCTGAAGGGTCAGGTTATCCTGCAGAGGGGATGAAATGGCACATGCTGCCTCTTATAGTTTATGTACTACTGTCTGGGACAAACGTGTAATGAATAAGCAGACTGACAGGGCCGGGCGAGTGGCTAAGTTGGTTAAGAGATGGCTTAAGAACGCGAGCTCTGAGCAACAGGGCTGCCGGTTGAATTCCCACATGGGCCAGTGATGCTGCGCCTGAGCTGAGCTGTCCTGTCGCTGAGCTGCCAACAGGTGGCAGGATGGCTCAGCTGGTGTAACAACAAGACTGCCTGTTTGATGGTGGGCTACAACTAAAAGACTGAACTTGGCACCTTGAGCTGAGCTGCCGCCTGGATGGCTCAGCAGATAGAGCGTGTGCTCTTAACAACAAGGCTGCTGGTTTGACTCCTGCATGGGATGGTGGCTACGCCCACCCACAACTAAGATTGAACACAACACCTTGAGATTAGAGGCCACGAGCTGCTGACGGGAAGCCAGATGGCAACTGGCGCCCTCTGCAATGAAGATTGAAGAACAACAATTTGGCTGGTCCCCTTCCCCAATTCCCCAACACTGTTCCCCTCCCCCAATTCCCCAATAAAATCTTTGGGGTGGGGGGAAGAGTGCAAGCTCTGATGGGCCGGCTGAGTGGCGTGTTGGTTAAGAGCTGGCTTGGGACGCCAGCTCTGAGCAGCAGGGCCCCGGTTTGGATCCCACATGAGGACCAGTGACGCTGTGCCCTCTACAGCTAAGATGGTGAACAACAGCTCAACCTGGATCTGGGCTTCTGTGAGTCGCCAGCGATGGCTTAGGCTGCAGTGAGGCTGCAGTGGGCTGCCATAAGCTACCATGAGTGGCCAGCAGCCGGCATGAGCTGCCAAGAGCCGCTGTGAGTGGCTGTCCAGTGACCGGTGACTGATCTGCCTCAGCCGGGAAGAGCGCAATGATCACAATACCAACATGGGCCAGTGAAACGACGTCCTCCACAACTAGATTGAAGAACAGAAGGACGGCAACTTGTCTGTTCCCCTTCCTCGATTCCCCAATGCTGTTCCCCTCCCCCAATTCCCAATAAAATCTTAAAAAGAAAAAAAAAAGAGTACGAGCTCTGAGCAACAGCGTTTCGAGTCCTGGCCTGAGTTGAGCTGCTGCCGAGCTGCCAACAGGTGGCAGGGTGGCTCAGCTAAAAAAAAAAACAAGTGGACTGACTACTCACTCACACATCATCCCCTCATTAGCCAGGAATACGGAGAGGGGGAAGGGTGAGTTATATCTGATTCCCTGGAGGATTCCGTATAGTGGACTTTCCACAGCTTTCTCTTTATCTGTGTCAGTGTCTCAGAGCATCACTGCCAACATCTAAGAGGTTCGTGTAGCTGTAGGACATGCCAAGACTCAGAGGAATTTGGGTGTAGTTTCTGTTATTTAACATAATCACAGATATTTGTGATTTTCAAATTCCAGGATGTGTCCTTTTTATGGGCTCAGTTGCTATTTAGTTGGTCATCTTATATCAGGAGATCTGCCACAGTGTAGACGTAGATGTCTTGGTCTGTTTGGCCCCCAGAAGGAGAATTAAGCCAGTTAAATATCAATGAGCACATTACATGCCAGGTGCTGGGCTGAAGATGTTACCTGCATGATCTCGTCAAACTTTCCCAACAACCTTATGCCATAGGTTACATTACCGTCCTCACTGTGCAGATAAGTTGAGATTCCAAGAGGTTAAAAGAATACGCTTGGGGTCATATGGCACCAAGTGGCAACTCCAGCTTTTGAACCTAGGGTCTGTCTGACTTCAGACGCTGAGCTTGGTTTTTTTAAGAAAGATTTTATTGGGGAATTGAGGGAGGGGAACAGCATTGGGGAATTAGAGAAGGGGAACAGACAAGTTGCTGTCCTTTTTTCTTCAGTCTAGTTGTGGAGGACGTTGCTTCACTGGCCCATGTTGATATTATCATTGTGCTCTTCCCGGGTGAGGCAATCGGTCACCGGTCACTGGACAGCCGCTCACAGCGGCTCTTGGCAGCTCATGCCGGCTGCTGGCCACTCATGGTAGCTTATGGCAGCCCACTGCAGCCTCACTGCAGCCTACGCCGTCGCTGGCGACTCACAGGAGCCCAGCTCCAGGTTGAGCTGTTGTTCACCATCTTAGCTGTAGAGGGCGCAGCGTCACTGGCCCTCATGTGGGATCCAAACTG